ATATTTGATTAAGCTCCACGAGTAATGAAAAGTGTTATTTTAACTTGAGTTACATACTATGACAATTTTAATTTTTTAGTTAGGCCTGGGTTTTGCATAACTACCTAGGCCTACTAAAAACGCTTCTGGAAAAAGCACAGAAGGAAAAGCGCGTTTTTCTTCATCACTGATCAAATGAAACAGAGTGACAGTTATTTTCAAATTAAGAGAAGAGCTGAGTATAGGCAGCTATAAAATACTGGATGCCATAAGACCTGCCAAAATGGCAGAGCACCAAATGAATGAAAAATGAGCTAGTTTTATTAATATTAGGCATAGCAATCGGCAGGTTCTTGATTACAAGGCTAGACCAAGTTAATTACATGTAATGCCGAAATGATTATAATAATAATAAGTATTATTATTATTACCTGTACGTTAAGGGGAACTTAGACAATGGAGGAATTAGAAAACAATTTAAAAAACGGCGTTAAGGGGAAATAACACAAGATAATCCCCTTGGCTAGTTATTATTTATAGGCCTAGTAAATAGTATCTGTAGGTTCTTCATTACAAGACTTAGGCCAAGGTAATTAATGCTAAAATTATTATTATTATTATTATTAATTATTATTATTACCTGTACCTTAAGGGGAACTTAGACAATGGAGGAATTAGAGAACAATTAAAAAAAAACGACGCTAAGGGGAAATAACAAAAGATATTCCCCTTGGGCGATTATTATTTATAGGCCTAGTAAATAGTACAGTATCTGTAGGTTCTTCATTACAAGGCTTAGGCCAAGGTAATTAATGCTGAAATTATTATAATTTAACATTAATTACATTACAATGATAGTTTGGACAAGTTCAATAACGCCGGAATGGTATATTATTTATTTAATAATATTTCTCTTATGTGCTCTATTTTTCAATTCATGCTTCAATTTTGTCCCATTTTTCCCCAAAAAATTTCAGTCTATGTCAGTATGTGAAGCGTGACTGTTGTGTCAGCCTATGACACTAGGCCTAGTTTAAGGAGGGCCCTAGGTAAGACCTCATCTCAGCCTGTAGTTAGGCCTATAGTTTATCCTCTTTCTCTCTAGCCTTTGGTATAATTTTTACCTATCTACACTTTATAACAGGAGGTACTAGGCTGCTGCTGTTGTTGTAGATAATATACTAACATTTAATATCATCCAAGAACGTCGCAGTTAGTTACACAGTGACGTACATCACATAAGTCCGTGAAATTTCATAGGCCTACCGTAGGTAAACATAAAAGAGCAATAATAGTAAAACTCGAGCGTCACGACATTGCGAAGTGTCTGCTCTTGTTCCTCGTATCGGACTCACTCGAGTGAATCCGAGATGGCCCGAGTGAAGTTTCATGCAAATGTTTCGTACGGAAAAAAAAAATCGCAAACGGGGCGCTTATTCAAACGGGACGCTTATCAAAACAGAGTGGAAATTGAGGGGGCGCTTATGGAAATAGATGAAAATCGAGGGGTTATTATGACAACTTATTAAATTCAAGAGGCACGTTTTGAATGAAAAATGATTATATAAGGACATCAGGAAACCGCAAATTACGAATGGTGGTGCGGCGGAAAAGATAATCGTCCAGAGAGCATGGCTTGTCATGACAAGAATGTTGTGAGTACATTAGTGGTGGTGGTTACTTGTTGGCCATCGGCCGATTGAGATTAGCAGGATTGCATGATCATTGCAGGTTTTCTTGAATGTGTTGTTAGGTGCAAATTGTCGGAAAAGCAGTAGGACTAGGCTATAGAAAAATGTAAGAAGATGAAAGTTGAAAATATACTGTCTGTCCAAAGAGCTCTCATCTGTCTCATTTTGATATTGACTAAAGGAGAATGTGATTCCACTCCACACATTAGAAGGGGCGCTTATTCAAACAGGGCGCTTATTCGCGCGAGTACGGTAATCGGTCCTGAAGTTTAACGTTCCATATTTGATCATTGGTACTCACCCTAGATTTTCTCCTTCTTTCAAAGTTTGAGGAAGATTCAATCCACGTGTCTCCGGAAGCAATAAAGCAAGAAGACCAGCAGCGATGGCTAGGCCGCCGAAGATAAGGTATGGGAGCTGCTCAAAAATGACACGAGCGAAGAGGATCTGTGGAGCTATGATTGCACCAATTTTACCAATCATTGACGATAATCCTATTGCAGTATTTCTAGTATCAAGAGAAAAAAAAACAGTAATATACTTGATTTGTAAGATGACGCTTAAAGCCCTGTCCAGACTATCACCAAAGAGTATAAAACTGCAAGAGGTCCGACTGCCCTTACTTTGTATACAGGATGGAACGTTAAAAAGTACTCCCACGAAGGGGCGTGTCCCTTATAAGAACATAAAAGGCGTTCGTATCGAACACGTGCTGCGTTTCGAATTCCAGCATACATTCTATAGACGCGCAGCACGCGTTCGATATGAACGCACTTTGCGTTCTTTTAAAGGCTACGCCCCTTTTGGGTAACTTTTTGAAATAGGATTGCGTTCCAAAGAATCCCCGGCAGTCGGACCTATTGCAGTTTTATACTCTTTGCTATCACGTTTTATTTGACAAAAATTATGTGGCATGCCTTATAGGGTCATGACATCACCTCATGGCCATCATAGCACATCATGACTACATAATTATGGGCATATAACAGTTTCATTTGTTTGTCAAATAAAATTTTAGCCTGGACGGCTTAAGATATACAAGGGCGATACAGCTTTAAAAAAATATTACTATTTAAGAATACTATGTAACAAATTTATGATTTAAGAATACTATGTAACAAATTTAAGATAAGATGTAACAAATTTATGATTTAAGAATACTTGTTAACAAATTTAAGATAAGATGTGTGGTATGTATAAATACAATTGATATTTATAAAGACATAACCTCATTGCGAGGACATTATTTCATTATAAGAAATTAAAAAATACCACTACAACTGAAAATTAACAAATCAATCTATCCAGAAACTCTAGAGTGAGTGTTTCCAGAACGCCCTCCGGTGAGGGCTAAGCAATCGAAAAACAAATTTGGATCTCTGTGCTCATGTCGGTTATGTATAGAAATTTGGTGGAATACACACAATTGACCTGTACCTCTCGTTTGAGACGCGACTCAGTGTGTCAATTCGTAGAGCCGGGGAAACTGTTTAATAGTAAAGCTTTCCTGATGAGGACGTGGACCCTTCCAGAATTTTCCCCACCCTGTATCAATATTTGAATACTCCTAATCAATAAATCTAGCTACAGGCATGTAAGTGTCGGAGAAATAAAATGTCAGTCATTGTGATATTTACATTTTTTGTTGGAGAAACTTTCCGTCCTGTCAATCAAATTTTTTGTTTCGTTTGTCGACAAATATCATAGGCAAACTGTATGTTAAAATCTTGTCATAATTTTAAAACTATAAAGTGTGTCTTTGAATTGGCTGTCAAACAAATTGTCGGTGAAACGTCCTGTCGGAGTAATGACGTGTCGGAGAAAGCGCATTCGTCAAAAGCCTGTCGGTGAAGTTTCATTTAAGCATTGTCACACACCTGAATCATAGTTCCGTCTCCTCTTGTATGAAAATCCATTATTTAAAGGAATATCCGAAAGCAAAAGCAAAATATAAAAATAAATCATTTAATAGTTTACTGGATTGTATATTATACTTAACCTTATTGACGTTGGGTAAATTTCTGCGGTAACTATGTATATAAGTGTGAATGAGGCAGTAATGCCGAACTTTCCTACCATTCCAAGCGTTGCAACCCACACATCATTTGCTACCGAAAAAAAAATATCACATTATATTAATAAGCCTATTCCAATATATACGGTATAAAGGGCTGCAGCTCCACTTCTTTCTTCATTTTGACAGTTCAAAGGCCAAACTTGTTTAGACCTTGTCTAAAGTGTTTAGGTTTATCACGTATTTAGCGATAAATGTGTTTGTATATATTAACATTATTATGTCAAAATAATACTTAAACTCATTTTGTTAATAAACAAGTATGAGACGACAATTGTTTACAATAAGTTTACTGATTTCATTTATATATAAGCAAGGAAAGGGTAATTAATCATTATGTATAAAATAATGACTTGAATTTTAACACATTATATATAAAATTTGGACTTTGGACAAAAAAAGCACTTTTTTCTAGATATGACGAATAACGACTCGATTTAGTCAATTCAATGCTCTTATTTTTGCAGATTTCTTATTTTTGCAGATTTCTTATTTTTGCAGATTTCAGGTTCAAAATATTCTTATTTTGTTCTTATTTTTACACACTTTTCAAATATTGAAAATATTGTGCAGCAGTATATTAATGTACTGTATTATAGAGAATATTACATAGTCACACCTACTGCACATAAGGTACAAAAAAAGGTTTTTTTTTTTTTTTAAAAAAAAAAAACCTTTTTTGACATTTTACCTCAACCTCAATTTATTCTTATTTTGTTCTTAATTTTTTTTTAGCAATTTCAGCCTCAGTGTTCTAATAATATGTGTTCTTATAAAAAAAAATGTAATTTGGTTATTGCAACATTATGGTTCGTTAATGAAACCCTTACATATAAACGAAGTAGTTGCACAAGCTACTCCAGCAAGTATCATTGTCGCACTTAAAACTATTCTGCGTCCCCAGCATTCAATCGAAATCCAGGCAATAAACACAGCTGGAATCTCGACAAAACCAGCTAAAGCGTTGGCAGCATATTCGTTCGCTCCAAGACTGACAACACTTAGTGATATCCCGAAATAAACTAAGGAATTGACAAACCTACGAATTGAAAAAAAATATATATAGGCTATATATAGTCATAACCCAGCAAACACGTACCGTTATGTAAAGGTTGTGGTTGGTATGTCAGAAAATGACGTTAACATAACGCTTTTTTATTCTTATAAATATATGTTTATCACATTAGAGTATTTATGGATCTACACAAAAAATGGGTACTACGTATTATAATGTTTGCTTGGAAATTTAACTGTTTGCTGGGAAATAAATAAATTATAATAATCATAATAGGCCTAATAGTATCAGTAATAAAATGATTAAAGAATGATTGATGCATGATGAGTAACAATAATAATATTACTATTACACATTTACAACTGATAATGTACATTTTTTTCTTCCTCTTTCAATTTATGTATAAATGTTATTCTGTTTATACTGTTATATTCTTTTAGTTTCGTTAGCTTGATAATCGTGAAATCTACCATATAAACGCGATCATCAGAAATCGCGTTCGGATATTTTTCAGGCGTAGTATGTCAACAGTTTTGAAATTTGACGGACTTTGTTGAGTCTGCAAAATAAAAAGGTATTGTTTATTTACCCTGCATGTTCGTTTACAAAGCATTATTTTGGGATTGATGGTTTTACTATTATTCGTAATGTTCAATGAGTTGGAGATCCAACTGTAACTTTAAAGGTAGGCAAATTGGAGATCTATCTAGCAGAAAAACTTAGAAATAAAAACACATTATGCAGAAGAATCAAGATCAACATCTACTTGTCAGAAAAATGTTTACCATACACAATGTATAGTTAAAATTACAGTAATTCACGATAAGGTAGCGTCTAGTATTTTAGGAGTCCGGTTCTCAGTAAGAATAGCACACAAAGAGTATTTCTGCCCTATACTTTATAACACATGTTCCACCTCTCCCACCCCCTTTGTGTTTGTTTCACTCCTGATCAATAACTAAATTTTTAGGACGCTGTATATTTCTGTAAAATATTCCGTAGTATATTTTTGTCACATCTGATTCCTGAACTTTTTCTTAACTTCAATCATTTCAAACCTCTCTACCGACCACTGCTGTCACGTAAAAATAAGTATACATTAACAAATTGTACACATCCCTTGCATTAAAATCATATCTCACTTACTTCTGGTGTAAAGTCGTCTCCTTTCTGTCGGCAAAATTGTTGACAGGCATCAAAATTTGCTTGTGGATCTTTGCTAAATTTGCATGCCTTTTTCAATATTCTGTCTGTACTGTTCACTTTGTTTACTGAATGGAGCCATCGCGGAGATTCTGGAACAAGCCTAATTTGAATATAAAAAATTGTCTTCTGTGTATAACAAAAGGATTTGTGCACACACTGATGATGGCGGTAACGATGATTGGGATAATGATTATAGCAATGAGAATGATACATATGAACATGATGATGTATTTTATTAATAATATATTTATTTAATATTTATTTGTTTAAACTTGTAGAGTTATTTTGTCGACATTTCGAAATACAGTTTCATCCGTGTTTTGTAGACACTGTGGAAAGAAACATTCCAGCGGTTTTTAATTAATTAAAGAAAATCAGAAAATGTTATTGTTGTTCGCATGCCTTATAAATCAAACGCTAAAAAATGTCATGCTCCTTTCACAAAGTGCACAGTTTGAAGTTCATGGCTGCGATTTACTAATATAATTATTTTCAAAATTATTCTCACTCTTTACAAATGTATCTATGGTTTTTCTCCTATTTATATTGTTTTCTCGACCAACGTATCCCTACACGTACAACACTTTTCTCTTCTTCTTTACATTTCATTATACCTTACAACAAGAGAATTGGAGGGTTTTCATTTCCTTGTTATGCTTCTAAACTTTTGAATAATCTTCCAACTGATACTTAGAGATATATCCAATCATTTTAAACGTGCACTCAAGACTTACTTGTTTGCCTAAATCAGTCTTTCCCTGCTCTTTCCTTTTGTGTTTTATTGTTGTAATTTGTTTATTTGTCTTTGTTGTTTGTCTATTTTCTCTATGGTTTGTGTGACTGTACTATTGTGATGCATTGGGTTCCTAAATTATGACTGATTTTATGCCTACCAATGTTTTCTTATTGAGGTTTGGCTTGCGCTTCATAACTGCAAGGGAAAGGCGTAACATAAATACCCAGTACTAGTTTGGAAATGTTTTGGGTCTTATCTCCTACATTAGTAGTTAAAAGAAAATTATTACATTTGTGGGCGAAGAGGTCATGTTTTGTTGCTACATTTGTGGGCTTTATCACCTTTGTGAGCGATGATCTTTATTATATTTGTGGGCGCTGTTTGTTACATTTGTATGCGCTGGTTGTTACATTTGTGGGCATTATTACACTTGCGGCCAGTGTGTCGTTACATTTGTGGTTGTTATTACATTTGTGAGCGTTTTCACGTATTTGTGGGTTCAACAAGGTGACATGACACGGACAGATTGACAAAAGGCCTGGTATAGGTACTAGCCTAGCTGGTGGCAAAGGTTCGAATAACTATTTTGAAAAGTAAGACTTACAAGAATATCATAATCCATATAAATATATCCATTATTGCCATCGCTAGCATAAGTAATCGCCAATAGCGTATAAGATATGCATACAATGAGGCTACCATGTATCCAATTGACCACTGAACTGAGATGAATGTCCCGGCTAAAGACCGCCTTGATGGACCAACAAGTTCACAGCCTGAAACAAAATTAAATACAGTAGGTCTATGTTTTACTATGGAAGAATTTAGTTTTACTTAAATTACGTGTGAACAAGTCTCATGACATTTAATAGTTATTTTTAAATCTTTATTGTAGATCTATATAAACCATATATCATAGAATAGGTCAATGAATCTGGTAGCACTTTAGAAAATGAGTACGGTATACTAAATATACAGTTGGAATCAAGTGTTAAAATTACATCATGTTTAATATACGGTAGTTAAAACTTGTCTGAAAAACAAATTATGATGGCATATTATTCGATCACGTGGAGTCGATTATGACATAGTCTTATACAAAATATAACCGGTTTACAGACGGACCTTTCCGGAGTGTTAAAAAAAAAACTTAACAACTGACCAATAAAGAGCAGCAGCAGGCCAGGAAAACTTGCGTTCCATATAAACACATGAGTTGTCCGACAAACGCACGTGTTTGCGTACATCTGCCCTCTTTCATTGGACCATAGCAAAGTTATCAAAAGGGCGGGGTTTAGGGGAAAGGTCCACTGTGCTTGTTTTATGATTTTGTTATTGAATTGTGGAAAGAACATTCATTTGACACCATGTTTATAGATACATACTGTAATATAGGCCTACACATGAACCGTTCATTTATCAGTTAATATCAACGTTTGCTCTAAAGTATAACGATAGTAAAGTAGGTCTATACTTATATTCAATGATATACAAATACATCATACACACCAATGACAAATGTTGACATGTAGGCTCCCATGGAAAATGCCCCTGCTATTGCTCGAAAAGTAATGAACATCAAGTACCACTGTGATGATAAGATAATAATATTCAGCAGAGTATATAGCAACATACACACCAATAAAATCTTTTTCCGCCCATACCTAAAATTAAAAATCAGCAAAAGCATACAAGGCATTATTCAACGAAACAACAATTCTTGTCACGGTTTTTTTTTAAATTTGAGTGGTTAGCAGGCTACTTATGGTACCAGATACACTATTATCTTCTTTTATGTCTTCTGCGCTTTTCTATGTACATTTCAAATAGATATTACAATACGAATCATTATGTGTATGCTTTTACACCGTCATTCTGTGGGGGCCTTAGCAACGATATGCAAGGGGCGGGAGCGGATGATCAATTGTGTTTTTTTTTATGGTTTCCTTATTAATAATGATAAATTTATTCCACTAATACCTTTTTATATGTCTATGACTGTATAATCCATGTATATATTTTATATAGGCCTATATTGTATCATGCGATGGCGAGATTTCCTAAAAAGTGGAATAATAAAGTTTACTTTATCTCAACTTATTTTATCTTATCTATAGTAATTAGTAATGCAGCGACTTACCTGTCAGAGAAATTTCCAAAGATAAGAGACCCAACCAGTGCACCAATATATTCTAACGAGATTACCAGGGGTACTAAATACGCATCTTCACAAACCAAATCAAACTAAAAGAAGAAATTTTGTAAAAACCCACAGACTTTCTACACGATGTCTAATTAAAATGGATATTGTCTCAGACTTGGTAATTCAATTATAACTCATTATGTTAGATAAGAAATGTAGCGCATTCGGTTTCATTTCTGCTACAACTTAATGTGAGAAGGTGCAGGCCTACTGCTAATCTTGTGTTTATTTAACTGTTTGTTTGCTGAAACTAATATAAGTCTCTTGATACAACATGTTATCCTGTGTAGTTTACGTATGGCTTGACCTAAGTAGTTTACTTTTTTGCCACTGGTAGAGTATTTTGCTCCAGATTATGTATAAACAAATTGGATATGTCGGGACTCTAGTCAATCACGCCAATTCGGCAGCTTTTCCCAGCAGTTAAATGCTTTCTATTTAAATTGTAGCCTAACGACAAGGTCGGTTGTATTGTTTGTTGTTTTTTTTAAATTTCCACATGTAGTGTCTTATCATTTTTAATGTTGTGAAAACAGAATGATCGTTTTTGCTTCTCTCACCCAGAAGGGTGTCCATTCCAGATTGTCTATGATACTTGCACCGGCAGTTATCAAGACGCCACCGTAGAAACTTTTTGTGTTATTAAGACAAAAAAAAAACAAAACATTAGCATTATATCATGGCATTGAATTACATTTCTAAATGTAAACGTAAAATGTAAGAAAATAACCCATTTACGTATGTGATCCGCGAAACTTTTAACTTTATGTTCACATCATTCAATTTTAATTATATGATATCAAAATTGGCTAAAATCTTCTGCGACTATTTCCTCCACTATACTTTGTTGGATTATTATATAATATAAACATCCATTATTTAATATATTATTATTGCAAAACAACAACTGATGGAAAATGGATAATAAATAATTTGAATTGTCGCCATATTGCTCAAATATAAACATTATTCACAGGGGCGGATACAGGGAAATTGAAATAGAAAGTGCCCAAGAGGGACTTTCACGAATGGAGAGCCTACACTACCTTAGCCCTACAATCCATGGTTGGGCTGAGGCAAGAAAATTTATGATTATTGTATGTAGATTTTGAAAAAAGGGGTGGGGTGTACGAGCCGGCTACCCCCTCCCCTACCCCACCTTCAACCCAAATCCGCCACTGATTCACGAATTCATCTCAAGCACCTCTTCAAAATTACGCGTTGGCTTACCACTGGAACGCATTTCACGCCATGTGAACGCGTGCTGACGGTGATCAGGGATGCATGGAACCGACACTCTCGTTTGAATGATCTTTCGAAAAGTATTTTGTTAATGGCATTCAATTAATTTTAATTGCTTATTTATTTTTTTCTTTATATACACTTATTATTTACTTTGAACACGTAATGGGCCACTTTACCCGACATATTTCCCGAGACCAGTGAACATTGTAATAAAGGTTATATTTACCTCCTGCGTTACAGACGTTTTATATTGAGTAGTATCGTACTCGTACCCACTGTTACAGCTATGAATGGATACATTTCTCAAAGGTTCATTGATATTAAAATTGTAGTTGGTAAAATTATATTGACTGCAATGCCCTTCGTTTAACGTAGTGCTACTCTGGTCTGTTGGTCGGTAATCGTTCTTCAGTAAAATACATTCAACTTCTGTTAAATTTAGATCTAAACACTGTTCATCCAACTGGTCAACTTGACACCAAAAATCGGTTTCAGGGAACAGAAATACAACGGCTAGCGAATTCCAAGCATTTGACATCACGCATAAACTGACGATTATATAGGAAAAGAAAAAATATTGATTACATTGTCCGATATGTTTGTAAATATCGTCAAAATGTTGTATATCACGTTCGCTTTCCATCGCAATACTCCGGTTAAAGACTTTCTAGGTTTGAAGCCAAAGTACGCCTAATCTGGATTGATTGGTAGTATAGAGGAGCATCCAGGCAGCCTAGGCCTCACGACTCTGATGTGATGATTGGGATATGCAACACTTACTTCTAAATAAACTACTGCACTACTTTAATAGTGGGTCGACCCAGTTATATCCGATTAAATCCAATCAAATCCAATCAGGTCATTTATAAAGCGCCTTTATTTGCAGATACTAATTAAACCTAGTACCAAGTTTGCAGACATTATCTGTTGTTTATTTTGAGTAGTGCCAAAGTGCGAGCCAGCGAGTCATGCGAGCCAATGTGCGAGTCATGCGAGCCAGCGAGCCATACATTTATTTTTTTTTTCAGGTTGTCCAGTTTTGCAAACACGTAGGCCTAGCCTATATTCTTTGGCCTAGTTGATGCGATGCAAATAAATAACACACAGGGGAGCTTTGCCTGTGTAGTACAGCCATGCGCAGTACAGCCATGCGCAGTACATACTTTTGACTTAATTCTTCGAATCGTCGATCCGAAAGTATGCAGCGCTGTTAGATGATGTTAAAATACAGATATACAGATACATAC